GTGAGTGTCATCTAACACTCACTTAAAATTAATGTTTAAAAACTATTAACTAAAAATTTTAAAACATTTTAAAATGAATATTCATTTTCATACTGTACATTATAATTCTGTGATGCCTAAATTCACTTGTAGCATTTTACAGCACAATATTCAGTTTTTAGTGTTTAATTTAAAAAGAAAAATGTAATTAGACAAAATTGGATGAAATTTTAATGTTACATTTTTTTTTATTATTAGCTTATTGTATCAGCCACAATTTTATAATTTTTGATCTCAGTTCATCTCAAAGTTTCATTTTAAGGCTGAACAGTCAAAACAACATTTCAACCTATTAAACATACTGTAATTGTATGCCTCACAGCCTCATTTTAATTGATCAACATCAAAAACTCATAGATCCACAGGATTTAAACATTATGCATGATAATCATAATAATAAGCATTATTATTATTGGAGATGCACTGGTATATAAAAAGTGGCCGATACGAATAAGCCAATAATTATATCTTTGTTATGGACAATAATTGATCAAATATAAAAATTCTATTCTGTTGTAAATAAATTGAAAGAAAAATCTAAATAAATCACAAATAAAACACTAAAATTTGCTGTTCATTTGCAATCAATGAATTGAATTTAGGCATCGCAACATTACAGTGTACAACGTAATATCTAATTTTGTCTGCAGTTGACTGATACAATCAAAAAATAATAATATGGTAGACTGTCATCCATAATAATAATAATAATATATTTCTTATAATAAATAAAACATAGTTAAAACAAATTACAACTGAAATTCCATATCCAATCTTTTATCTCTTAACTGTGTGAAGTCTATAAACTTTGTAACTTTTGTAAGATAAGCACAAGTATACCAGAAAAGGTCTGTTTACACAGAGACAAATCCACCCTCAGGAATTACCAGAAGTTCTGCTCCTAGAAAAGTCTCACAAGGATTATTTAGACAAATACAATCTGCACTTTTCTGTCCATAAATTTGCCTTGCCCCATAGACTTCCATTTGAAGAGCATTACTATGGGTCGAGCCAAAATTACTGACTGTGGAAACTGGCACCGAGCCAAAGATGCTGTCAAAAAACTGATCTGATTTTGAACCAGGAATATTCCTTTAAAGGCCTTTTCTTGGTATATCCAAACACTCTACGGAGATTGTGGTGAGATGAGACAACCACATCAGTGTTCCATGTTCATGCACACGCACACAACTTCCACACAAATGTACAAGTGCTATAAGTCGGGGCCAGCCGATGTATAACAGCAAATCATAAATATATAGTATGATACAGTAGAGTATATAGTATGCTAAAGTAGCATATAAACATGGCAGATAACTTGTGTGATGACTGTCTGTGTGTCCACTGAGAGATTTGCTTCAAAAAGACAGACAAACACAGGTACAGTGTGCCAGTCAGTGTGTTTAGAGTTCGAACGGCACCTCAGATGTGCATTTCCTCTCAGAGTTCAGTCCGTAGCTTCCATTTCCACGTTCAAGTGCTCTGATTCTACCTCGGCTTCCTGTCTAGTGGTGGTTTGGCCAGGTTTGTTCTCGGTGCGACGGCATTGTCTTTCCTTGACTGAGCCGCTTGGAGGACTGGTAACCACGGCAACCCCGTGTACAGAAGTGGCATGCTCTGAAGCTTGTGGGTTGCGAGTCGAGCCATTGAGAGAGCTTTGTTTGTACAGCTATCTGTGCCTGCGTAAACAATGTTTTTCAAGTATTTAAAAAGCACATGTAGACTGAGTTTGCGATTGCTGTCAGGATGTGAAAGTACAAGCAAAAGTGAGAAGAATTTGCGTTTATGGACCTTAATCAAGGAAGATGCTGTATCAAATTTGACATCAATTAAAACGAGACTGTGAGGCATAAAAGTAGGGCTGCCACTAACGACAATTTTTATTTCGATGAATCTATCGACTAAATTATCGATTAATCTAAACGATTAATTTCCCACAAAAAAAAATCAACAATTTTAAAGAACATTTTATTAAACTTGCAACTTTGCCATTCAGTAGTGTACCATAAAAAACGTATAAATGTAAACAAGCCATTGACTAAATGTAAAACTAAAAGAGTAAAAATGTAAACAAACCTAATAAAAATGAAATAATTACAAAAATCTGAGAAAGTCAGCATGTTCTTAATGTCAATATATCCACATGTTCTGGGCTTCTGTTCATTACAGCTGTGAGTGCAACTACAAAGGGGAAAAATCTGTTTCAATTAACCCCAACAGTTGGGTTTTCACATTAAATAAATGCAATGTTTAGAGTCCACTAGAATCAAGTATTAAAATTGTATTATTATTAAAAATTTTAAGTATTAAAAGTACTCTTAGAAATGTGTAAACAACAGATTTAAACAGACATCTCCAGCATGATGAAAAAAATGAACAGAGGACTTCAGTAGTGAAACTCCAAATTAAATCCAAATTTCTATGAAATCCTTTTTTAAAGCAAAAGTAAAGTGCAACATAGAGTGCAAGAAGCAAGTGTCCATCTCATAGTCCAAATCACTGAAATCAAAGTTCAGTATTATAGTGTAAGAATGACAACATGTCCACGTGTTCTGGTCTACTAATAATAAAATATTATAATTAATAATACATTTTTGTGGTAATAAAAATAGATGTAGGCTAAGTGAACAATAGCCTTTAAATTGACTTAAAATACATATTAAAAGTACAACATGTTTAATAGGTTAAAATGTTGGAGACCTTTGTGTCGACTGTTCAGCCTTAAAATTAAAATTTGGGATGAACTGAAATCAAAAATCATAAAATTGTGCCAATAAATTTCTGTTCCGCCAAGACCAAATACATCAAAATTGTCATATCCATCACCATGCTAAAATGTTCCGAGAGTTGTCATGATTGAACTATTTTTATGCCCAAAATTTAAAAAGTCATCCAATTCTTCTAAATACATTTAAAATAATGAAGCACTAAATAGTGTACTGTAAAATGCTAAGCGAATTTAGGCATCACAAAATTATAATGTACGTACAGTATGAAAAATGGATATTCATTGGGTGCATCTCAATCAGCTCCCTTGTTCAGTAGTAAGGGCACTGATCAGGGAGTCGGCCATTTTAAGGGCTGTCTCAATCGCGAAATCCTTCCAGTGCACTGGAACGTTCGCTGCCTGAAAAGTCCCACAATGCACCGCAAAAACTAGGGAGCATCGGAGCTCACTATGCTCCCTTACTGGAAATAACGTCACATTTCTGCAGCGTAAAACATAAATCACACGAGCCAACTCGATAAATACAATGACACGCTATAGAAGATTTGAAAAGACAAACCGTTTTTTTCAACATAATTTGTATATTTCAATATAAATGCACATCGCTAGACAGGTAATGAACACATTTATTTAACATTTATAATTAATATTCGGCTGAAGTGTTGTAAGAACATGTAACAGAACGATGTGTTTAAA